GAATGATACTTGATAATATAGTAGTTCAATTGTTGCCGGTGTGTACATGATTTAGTACATTATATGTATATAGCGTAACACAGGCATATTACCGATCAGTAAAAAAACATGCAATCACAAAATGTGAAAGTGGGTCACACGTCATTTGAAATCGATATAGAATCATCGAGCGCGTCGTCTAACTTATCTTTGTGTCATTTTACTTTGAATTTATATCTTTAAAGATATATGCAGATAATCCTAATTGCGTTACTGTATATCTGTCACCTGTGAAGCAGGTATAGCCGGCCGCACTGCTATATGGGAGACCGCGGCTTGTACGCACTGCTATATGGGAGACCGCGGCTTACACGCACTGCTATATGGGAGACCGTGGCTTACACGCACTGCTGTATGCGAGACCGCGGCTTACACGCACTGATATATGGGAGACCGCGGCTTCGACGCACTGCTATATGGGAGACCGCAGCTTACACGCACTGCTATATGGGAGACCGCGGCTTGTACGCACTGCTATATGGGAGACCGCGGCTTACACGCACTGCTATATGGGAGACCGCGGCTTACACAGACTGATATATGGGAGACCACGGCTTGCATGCATTGCTATATGGGAGACCGCGGCTTGTACGCACTGCTATATGGGAGACCGCGGCTTACACGCACTGCTATATGGGAGACCGCGGCTTACACAGACTTATGGGAGACCACGGCTTGCCTGCATTGCTATATGGGAGACCGCGGCTTGCACGCACTGCTATATGGGAAGCCGCGGCTTGCACGCACTGCTATACGAGAGACCGCGGCTTGCACGCACTGCTATATGGGAGACCGCGGCTTACACGCACTGATATATGGGAGACCACAGCTTGCATGCATTGCTATATGGGAGACCGTGGCTTACACGCACTGCTATATGGGAGACCGCGGCTTACAGGCACTGATATATGGGAGACCGCAGCTTGCACGCATTGCTATATGGGAGACCACGGCTTACACACACTGATATATGGGAGACCGCAGCTTGCATGCATTACTATATGGGAGACCGTGGCTTAAACGCACTGCTATATGGGAGACCATGGCTTACACGCACTGATATATGGGAGACCGCGGCTTGCACGCACTACTATGTGGAAGACCGCGGCTTACACACATTGCTATATGGGAGACTGCAGCTTGCACGCACTGCTATATGGGAGATCGCGACTTACACGCACTGACATATGGGAGACCGCGGCTTACACGCACTGCTATACGGGAGACCGCGACTTGCACGCATTGCTATATGGGAGACTGCGGCTTGCACGCACTGCTTAATGGGAGACTGCGGCTTACACGCATTGCTATATGGGAGACTGCGGCTTGCACGCATTATATGGGAGACTTCGGCTTGCACGCACTGTTTAATGGGAGACTGCGGCTTACACGCATTGCTATATGGGAGACTGCGGCTTGCACGCACTGATATATGGGAGACCGCGGCTTAAACGCATTGCTATATGAGAGACCGTGGCTTACACGCACTGATATATGGGAGACCGTGGCTTACACGCACTGATATATGGGAGACCGTGGCTTGCACGCACTGATATATGGGAGACCGCGGCTTACACGCATTGCTATATGGGAGACCGTGGCTTACACGCACTGATATATGGGAGACCGTGGCTTACACACACTGATATATGGGAGACTGCAGCTTGCACGCATTGCTATCCGGGAGACCGCGGCTTACAGGCACTGATATATGGGAGGTCGCGGCTTGCACGCACTGCTATACGAAAGACCGCGGCTTACACGCACTGATATATGGGAGACCGCGGCTTGCACGCACTACTATGTGGAAGACCGCGGCTTACACACATTGCTATATGGGAGACTGCAGCTTGCACGCACTGCTATATGGGAGATCGCGACTTACACGCACTGATATGTGGGAGACCGCGGCTTACACGCACTGCTATATGGGAGACCGCGACTTGCACGCATTGCTATATGGGAGACTGCGGCTTGCACGCACTGCTTAATGGGAGACTGCGGCTTACATGCATTGCTATATGGGAGACTGCGGCTTGCACGTATTATATGGGAGACTTCGGTTTGCACGCACTGTTTAATGGGAGACTGCGGCTTACACGCATTGCTATATGGGAGACTGCGGCTTGCACGCACTGATATATGGGAGACCGCGGCTTAAACGCATTGCTATATGGGAGACCGTGGCTTACACGCACTGATATATGGGAGACCGTGGCTTACACGCACTGATATATGGGAGACCGTGGCT